ATCACTAGTTGTGAGTAGAGTTGTTACCCTTAAGTCATAACTGTGCCCTAACTCAGCCTAGAGGCTGTTTCATGGTTATTACTGATAAAATTTGAAAGTTAAAGTTTTATAAGTTCTAACTGAAGCATACCTTCATGCATAGGAGTTCTGCCACTACTGCACTGAACATTAGGATCTGCACCGGCATCTAGAAGAAACTGTACACATGATATACTTTGGGCCTCACATGCGACATGGAGGGCTGTCTTGTAGTGAGCTTTTTCTGTTTGACTAACACATGCATTGTATTGCAGCAGCAACTGAATCACATTACTGTATCAATAAACAAGATGACATTATCAGCCTTGGGGAAAAAATGAGTTAATGGTCAATGAAGTGCATTAAAGCCTCTTAGGCCCCATCCATGCTATGCTGGATAAATTTGAATCCGAATTTTTATTTATTTAGTTAGGCCTACCATCCACACTAGTCCGGGCGAATCCAGAACAATTCTTCACCGAAAACGAATTTTCAAAATGGAACCGAATAAATAAAAATTCGGATTCAAATATATCTGGCATAGTGTGGACGGGGCCTTAGTCATTAATAAACACAAGGGTAACAGAGAAAGTGTCCATATTAACAGAGTGTGTTGGATGATATGGCTAACTTAATTGCCATCTAAAGCATTTTCCCAACATATCAAATCCTTATATATTCTGTTTTTTATATATAATGCCATTTCTTCTGTGTTACATGTTATGAGCAAAACTTTTATCTTTTTCTTTGTAATATGGAGTTGGTCTTTTCATTTCTGATGTTTATTTTGTCACAACTTCTCATTTTAATGAGGGTGGGGTCAAGTGACTTGTTATTGCAAAAGGTTTATTACTTTTAAATGAAAGGTCAGTTTAGAGGTCTTTTCCACTTCCCAGGAGCAGATCTAGCCAAAAAACATTGGGGGGAGGGGTTGACCAAATATTGCGAATGACACTAAAGAACTTGGGAGAAAAAATCTAAAAATATGCTTTCTATTATTTATGGCTGAAGGGAGTGGGGCTATGTCCCCCCTTTGCCTCTTCCCTGGATCTGCCCCCAACTTCCAAGATATGCTTCTCTTATCATGCATGAAGGTTTTAATGTAAGGCTTTATGCATAATGCGTATTGATTCGTGACAGAAGAATAGAAGTGGGTTATTCTCTTCTTACCCCTAGCCGTGTTGCAAAAAACAAACAATACTAAAAACAACTGACCTAATTTAAGGCCATATACTCATCAATTCAAGACCAACAGATCAAACCCCTGCCCTGTCCACCTACCTATGTGCCCTCTGTGCTGCAAGATAAAGAGGGGTTTGTCCCCAAGCTTCCTCAACATTGACCATGGCACCTGCATTAAGTAATATCTGAGCACAGGTCAAGTGACCAAAATAAGCTGCCTGATGCAGTGGTGTGCTTCCAAATCTATTGGATAGATTAAACCATTTAACCAAAGGTCAATATGTTTATAGGAATATTGTCCTATTTCACTATGACGTCACATCAAAACAATATTCAACAATCTATTGTTTAAACTCAAAGGATCATGGTCATCGGACAGGGTCAAATCAACACAAATTCACCAAAAATTGTTCTAAAACCCGTATCAATCCACGAAGAGAAGTAGAATAGCCAGCAAACGCTCAGAATATTATATCTATATATTATATATACATATTATATCTGAAAATCGGGCCATTTTATATTAAACTGTTTCGCTAGGAGCAAATTTTGTTAAATTTTCTATTGGATTTGGCAATTCTATCCCCGACATAAACTAGCAGTGACGTCATAGTGAAATAGGGCAATTGCTATTGTGATATTATTGTGCCATAACCCTTTACAAATAGGTTTTTTATATTAAACTTTGTTGCCGGGACTGCCCAATAGATTTCTGGTTCGGTAGATTGAAATAAACAATCAATCAAAACAAATCGACCTTTCCTGAATTCCCTTGAGTAATGGCCACAAAACARTGGCTCAAAATAAATAAAAATTAATTGAAGGGTGCAAGATATAACAACCCACCATGCATATTGAAGTGGTATGAATTATATCAAATCCCTGCACATTTCCATTACCCAAAGTTTTCAAATTGCTTTGCTTATCTTTAATTTTTGTGACTCAAGCTCAAGCTTTGTTAACTTCCAAATTTATGTCATACTGTATGTTTATGCAACTTCTTATGATGAACTATTTAACAATTATTCGCCGAAGGCGAAGTGAATATTGGGGAATATTTACTGAAATGCTGTCTTCGAGCGGCAARGTAAACATTCTCTGATATTCACTGAGGCTGAGGCAAATAACTGTTTTTGAGTATAAATACACAGGTGATTCTTTCAAAAAAATAGCAACAAAGTGGCTGGCCGCCATTTTGGATTATCGCTGGAGGTGATTATCGTGTGATAGTGTGAGTTTCTCAACCAATCAGCGTGCGAGATTTTCAATAATCACCTGTGTATTTTTACTAAAACAGCATATTAAGCCATGTTTTTATACCTTGAAGTACTATTCACATCTGCTTCGTACTCAATGAGGATCTTCACACAGTTAGCATACCCATGATAGACTGCAAGGTGTAGTGGAGTTAGACCATCTTTCTCTCTGGCATTAGTTGAAGCACCTTGGTATTTAAAATATAGGCAATGTCACAATGACTTTGTAGACTTCCTCTTTTTGTTAGCTGGGATAAGTTTGGTTAACATTATAAATTGAAGGTATCTCATAATCCCAATAATTGTTTTTACATTAAATTTTTGATGTACCACTGTTTTGAAAACCACATATGCAGACTCATTCATATAGATTTAGGGACCATTCATTGATTATTTCTGGGGGGATGAAACAGGGGGAGGGCTGCCATAAATTAACAGAGAAAAAGGGGGGCTATATTTAATATTATTTCTCAATTGACACGGTTTTCTTTGTTATTCACAAGGCTTTATTTTTGTTATAACCCTCATTATAAATGCGCGGTCAATATATAGTTAGTTATTAACCCGGTTAATAACTATATATAGACCTCGCATTCATAATGAGCAACATTTGATAGAAAGCCTTCTCAATCGAGAAATAAAATACTTAATTACCTCGAACGACGGCAATAAGCCTATACATCCCTCGGGCCTGTGGCCCTCGGGATGTATATGGCTTATTGCCTCTGTTCTCGGTAATTAACTCTTACAGAGAATAGATAATAGACAAGCGTCATCACTAGAATTTTTCACCAGCATTTAGAAGCAAAAGGGGTCTGAGAATTTTTGTTTTGGATAGAAGGGGGTTGATAAGTTTTCGAGAAATTAGTTCTGATTCTTGCCAACCCCCACCCCCTCCCCCCCAGGCATAATTGATGAATAGTTTCTAAATAGCCTCAAAAGAAAAGATATTAAAAATCTGTAGGATTTAAAAAACAATTGTATTATTCAAATTGCACATTTCTTTTTAGAGTGGACTTGCAAGTGGTTTGCTCCTAAAGGAGACTAAACCTGTACAAATGAGTCTCTAGTCAAGTACCATATTGATGTTTACTGAATGAAGAAGAGAACTATTTCTCACCAGCTTCTATCAGCAGCTGCACACATGCTGGTCTTCCTTTAGAAGCTGCAACATGCAGAGCAGTGTACTTTGTTTCAGGGTCACGTAGGTCAGGGGAGATTTTTCTCTCGGTCAAGGCCCATTTCAGATCTTCTTCACGTCCTTCTCTCGCAGTAAAGAAAAGGGTGTATCGCTGACCCATATTGAATTTTTTTTTCGTTGTCTAGAAAAGAAATGTTAAAAATATAATTCTATGAAATTTATGAAGACAAGCTTGTTACTTTAATAATTTGTGTACATGTACATGTATGAACTCGGTACATAGAGTTGAATGTTGTTTTTATATTACAAACATAACATCAAAGTTGAAATAACCAATACAGTAAATTTAACAAAACAAACAATCCAAATACACTGAGGTTTCATACGTTCCTAAAACCCAAAAATATAAACATAAGGCCAAAAAAAATATGCTCAATTTTGCTTCCATCTCTGTGGCTTTTACGAATCATAAGTTCTTTAAAAAATGTATAAATTGATTTAAAAATAAAAGAGAATCGAATAACAAACAAATCGTTCGACAAATAGGAAGAAAGACGGTAAAAACTCACGAGAAAGAATGGAAAAGACAAACAAATGAGCGAGTCTCAGTGGAAAAGCGAAACATTAAAGGAAAATATCGACATTTTTACCTAGATATCTTGAGACAAGTCCGTCTTTATCGCGTCATGCTATATTCTGCCATATTATCGTCTTTTTAAAAAGCATTATAAAAGTGTTTTAATTGCAGCAAATATAGGAAAACTTCATTCACAGAAAAACCTCTAAATCGCCATTACTGTTTTGACTGGTAATGCGCATGCGTGAATGGACCCAGGATCCTCGGCCGTTTCCAACACGCGCAATGCATGTATTTTCTATTTGTCATGCAATCGTATCCAAAATATTATAAGTCGTTTTTTATAAAAGTTTGCTGCGCTGTGTGTAGTTATAAAGCACTTGAGGATTGACAGAACACGCGTCATGCTTCTCCTAACACTTCTCTCGTGTTCTGCCGATCCTCGCGTGCTTTATAACTACACACAGCACGCGCGCRCGCTTTCTATTTCTTCAATTTAGCGTGAAAGTGCGCAGTGGAAAATTATCTTTGAAATTTTTTGAATTATTCTCGATTAACAAAAAAAATTGTTACGCGCTTTTTTTCGATTAATAAAAAAAACTGATCCGCTTTTGCTATGGCTTCTATCTAGCCTGCGCAGCGGCCTAGCTTCCATCGAGCTATGGGTACACCTTGTCGGTTGCTCGCCTTTGCCTCATGCAACATGCAAGAGTTATACAGAGAAGAGCCTGGAATCGAAAATGCCAGGCTCAATCTCGTACCTAGAGTCCTCCTGCGGCTTCGTGTCGTCAGCCCGCTGACCAAAAAGCCGGAAGACTCTAGGCTAGAGATTGTATCCAACACTTTCAGCAGCAAAAATATCCCCCAATCGAACAAAAGTACTTTACTTTCAATCAAACATAAAAGATGAAGTAAAATTCAATATATATTTTTAACCATAATTGACGTTGCGTTCTAAGGTTCAAGACTTGCGCCTCGGTAAATGCTTCCTTGTTATCAGGAATGGGCGGGGTTTCCACTCTGTAAAGTCGTGCTAATGTACACATGTACATAAAACCGAGGAGTAGGTAAAGTTAACATAATCTAAATAACATGCACTGAATTTAATAACTATTGCTGGGAGCATAGTTAATCTCCTCCATTAACTATGACAGACTTGACTCGATCGTTGTGCCAGAGATATCGCTTGCGACAAATATACGATGACTTTGGATCAGAAGTCCCTACGTTTGCCATTCTAACTTACGAATAATGAACCAAAAGTTTTTGATTGTTGGAATTAAGAATTTCATCTATCCATGGTACAAGTTATCGAAAATATCAGCGGGATTCGTGAAACTTTTGATCCAAGCGTCTTCATCTTCTCGTATAGAAAGAATTAGTTTGGCGTCTGGAAATGCTTCCATCAGTTATTAAAAGAAAAACTGGGACGGACTACCAATCACAGCGTCTACATCTTTAAACATGCCATAGAAATCGAGTACCTTACCATGTTTGTACAAATCTAACCACTCGTGCATATAATACAAGATTTGTTCATCGCAGACTTTGTGGTAGCCTAGAATTGACGGGCGATGGATTGGGTTCCCGTTTTGGGGAGACCAGCACAGATCAGCTTCATCTTGTTTGAATTGTAACCCAGTCGAATTGCTGTGACTCTATTTTATATTGGAGGGGCTCTACTTAGAATAGTCTGTTGACCACGTTATGCAAATCGTTTATGAAATGAAAAATGTAGCGACGCACGACATGCTCTTTGGAATAGGTGGTCGATTTCTCTCTCTCTCTTTCTTTCTTTTCTTTCTTTTTTTCTGTCTCTTTGCTCGCGGATACGCGAAGCGTAAAAACGTGTTATTGGGCTCGTTCACGCTAGGTCCATTTTAGATCTATCTAGTTTGGATAGATTAGAGATGGATCCGAGAATCCGAGCTCAGTTTTCGAGAGCGTTCACAAAACGTATACAAAAAAAAAACAAAAAAACAACACAGGTGCTAAAATATCTAAGGGTTTGGGAACTAGCAGGGACTACATTAATCATTCTCGATCCCACTGGGACTACATTTTAGATGGTAGGCTTAGGTCCACTCGTCCATCTCTCTTCTTCGTCCTCATATTAGGCTATTCTTCTGAATTTTCCAGCATATTTATGCATAATTGCCTTTGTTTGCCACATGGCTATTAGAGACATAACGTACTTGTCGCTCCACGCTTCGACATCATTCAGTAGAGTATAATGTAAGCTAATGCTGCTTGTGAGGTGAGAATATACACCTTATACGTAAGAGGTCTATTAACTGTCTAGTTCGACTATTCTGTTTAGTCTACGAGTGTCTATTATGTCTATATATACACAATAGAACAGTCATATCGACATAACGAAATACGGAAACTACGCATGTGCTTCTTTTATGTATTCTGCAATATCGCACCCTAGGGTCGGACCATTAGATGATTAGGGGGAGGGGGGTGGGGGAGGGGTTCGCTTGAATCCCAAATTTAAATTTTTAGCAAGCACTTCACCTACGAAAAAAATATCGCGCAACCTCTCCTTTCAGAAAAGAAATATCGAGCAAATACAAAGATGCAGCAGGTTTTACAAAACATATCGCGCAACATAGCTTCATGCTACACCCCCCCCCCCCCGATTATAATCGATCCAAGCTCACCTCTCGTGGTGGTGTAGTTAAGATCGGTATCAGACTGTTCAAGGGAGGGGACAGATAGTGCACGATTGTATCCCAAATTCAACTTTTCCTGACCATCCCTGCCCATAATAAATGCTTCAAGACAGTCACTAGTCAGTAAATTATCAACCACTGGTTTATCTCTTATGGTTTCTGTAAGTAAACCAGATAAAATTTGTTTACTTAACAAATAAATAATGGTCTATAAATATTCTTTACTATTATTAATACATTTACACCTGATTTCAGGAATCAAAATCTTATATTTAATTTAGCTTTAGCAGACACTAGAGAAAAACGTTTGCGCATGCGTGCATTTCAGCACGTCAAAAAAGTTCGAGAGTATACTTTTGTCAGACCAAGATACTGTATTAACAAACACAATATGAAAGAATTAGCCTTAAGTTCCAAGCATGGACACTAGGTCTTGGCATTTTGTAAAGTCCAATTCATCAGGCATTTAAGAAAGTCAAATTTCCATATGTTTTGACATATGTTTTGGCATTTTTCACTCGTGTCGCTTTAGCGTGGATCTACAAAATGATAGCATCGAATATAATAATATATATAGATAGAGTCATGATGCGACTATTTTGAAAAGAAATCTCTTGAGAATATTTAACATGCCTGTTATGACTAATGCGATTCCCAGAGTGGCTAACTTAATTCAGAGGTCAACAAATATTTTTCAATTTTTGTGAGAGGATTTTGTTTAGGAGGGTCCTGAAGTCGGTCCTAGTCTCATTTTCCAGCCCCCCTTTTGACCAAATCCCATAGTCCTAGCCTACGTTTTGCTCAAATCTCAAAATAATTTTTTGATTGTTTTTCCCATTGCATAAAATCTCATTTTCCCAGCCCCAAAAAGGCGAATCCCACCTCCCATTTTACCACGTCAGGACCCTCTTTATCCTCTCTTTTGAGCTGCGTCGGGAATATTCTGCAACGGTTTATACTTTTTTCTTCCCTTGCCATGATTTACGCGCGTTCTTCGCAAGCTTCTGGTGCAAGCTGTGTTTAGTATTTACAAAAAACCTCTTTCCTTGAATAGTCGACACCAGGGGGAAAATACTCCAGTTTCGAGGTCTCTGTAGCTCAGGATTGACCTCGAATTCATATTCATTTGTTGCAGTTAAGGTCCGTGGAATTTCAATGTTTGTATTGTTGAAGTCGTGCATTCTTTACTTTACCGTTGGTATTTTTTGATTATTATACAACTATTCAAATTAGAGTACTTATAATAGAATACTCAACAAAATTACTCAATTCTGATTGGACAAGAGGAGTACAAATAAATCCCAAATGGTACCCTGTAGAGTCCAAATTAAGTTGCTCAACTTTTTTGAGTGTATTACAAACAAAAAATCGCACAATCTTCTCGTACAATTCGGAATTCCTAGAACCTTGTGATGTTTTGAAAGTTCTCAAATTCGACTCTCCTAAAAAGACTCGACCAATTTTGAAAACTTTCAAAACATCGCAAGTATCTATAAATTACGAATTGTACTCGAGATCGTGCGATTTCCTTTACAAATAACGCCGAAGAAGGCCTGGAGCGAGTACAAATATCCTGCGATATTTGTACTACTCTAGGTTGTTTTGTACAGTAAAAAACCGTTTTGAAAACTAGTTTTTTTAAAAGAATATTCGTTTTAAAATCTTTTTGGGAAAAAGTAAGCTCAGTTGAATAATGAATAACTTACTAGACATTTTAGGTTGGAATACGAGTGGACATTTTTTCTCGTCTTTGTATTTTGTCTCGGGCAGACTCCAAATACAGTCCTTTGACTAAACGTTGTCGTTTGATCGGCTTCATCCCTACGCGCCTAGACCGAAAAGAATCATAGGGATAATTAATTCAAAGTTACTAGCTGCCGCATATGTTATCTAACACGTCTTGAGCTCGCTGTTTTCGATCCCACTTAATTTGCTGAAACCATACCTCGAGCATACGGCGAAGATTTAAACTGGTGAGCAGTTTGGATGACGCAAGTTCTGGGTAATTTACCCGTTATCCTTTTCGGTCTAGGCGCGTAGGGATGATCCGATCAACGACAACGTTTAGTCAAAGGACTGTATCCACTCGTAATCCACTCTAAAATGTCTAATATAAAGAACTATATATTTAGACACTGATACGAGGCCAAGCCTGAGTAAATGGGTCTGTAATCAGGAGACACTGCGGTAATTTGGGACTCGAAAAAGGTCTATTTTCCCCTGTTGACATAGTTATTTATTTTACATGTTATATTTGTTTTTCTTTGAAATTTTCTTCAAAGATATTTTCCATGAAACCAGTAACAAGAGTTGGTCTGTTTTTATATACAAACGAATGGCACTTTCTTTTAACATTAGCAGAAAGTAAGCACGTTTGTTAGGCATATTTTCCAAATTTGGAAAGTCCATTAATTTAGCCACATAGCTGTAGTTCCATGATTTAAAACGAGCAGAATGCATGTATTGAGAAGACGATTGTAAAACACTATAGTGTTCTAGCGAGAACTAGCAAAGTTAAAACATGTCTCCTTTTTTTAAATAAAGTAAGAAAATGGTACTCCGGCGAGAGACATACTTGGATTGTACGAATGCTTTACTATATTAGCTGCGTATTGTAGCCTGCGTTAAATGATTATGTTAAACTCTTTACATGGTTATTTTACTGATTGAGTAAAATATGAAGTTGTTCGTAGACTGCAGGCGCTGTGATTTGGTCTCGTAATCTTAGCTTTTTCACATATACTTGGAAATTCCTTTACCTTGAGAATAATTAATGGCTTGTATTGGACCTGAAATGAAAGCAGAATATGTTATGGAGAAAACATGTCATGCGTTGAATGAAAGAGAGCACGAAAGAAAGGGGTGTTGAAGTGGCGCAGGTAAGGATGGCTTATAGGTTTCCATTTTATACAATATTTCTGACAAGAAAAGACAAAATTTGAGAAATTCTATATGGGTTCAACGTTAGGATAACAGAAATGCCCTTTGCGACCAAAGTGTTGTATTGATGGAATTCTTGTGGATTTGGAGGGAACGTCAAAGCGCGCGTTCGTCCTCCAACGTGCAAGTCTGAGACTCTCGCTACTAGACGGTGGCATGATATTAAAATAAATGATAGGGTTAGGAATACAGAAAAGAAAGCAAAAAGACGAGAACAAAATCCTAAAAAAAAACGGACAAAAGAACGAGGAAAACGAAAGCAAAACGGATGCTGAGAAGAAAACAAACATACGAAGAAAAAACAAAACAAAACAAAAAAAGACGAAAACACTGGAGAAATATAAAACAATATAAGAGAAAATCGAAACAGTGGAACATAGAATAACAAAAATAAGGAGGGAGCCAAAGAAAAAAAACAGACACACATTCAGTCAGTCAGTTAGTAAGTCAGACAGTCAGTTAGTAAGTCAGACAGTCAGGGACAAACAGACAGACAGACACAAAGATAGACATGCCATCTGAAGAGGGCGAGAATAATCCAGCAAAGAATCCAATAATGTAAATATTACCTGTTAGACGACTGTCTCATGAAGCGTGCTTCTTGCTGCTTGGATTTATGTTCATCTCGACGCTTCTGTGACTGTCTTCTTCGTCTGTATATGCGAAACTGGTTCTGAATGATAGCAGCAGCTCGACGACTCTTCTTAAACTGTTCGTGCTCTCTGTAGGCTCGGTATTGATTCTGGATTATCAAGGCTGCATTCGTCATTTTCTTGTACAAAACAAACTAGAATTAGAAGGAATCAAGGAGACTTAGATTTTTGCACGTTTAGATGGTTTGAAGGTATTATATACGTTAATGTGCTGGTGTTACCTGTTTGTATTTGCGATAATGGTTCTGTATGAGTAATGCTGCTTGCATCTCTTGGTCACGTTGCTGTCTTCGAATCTAATAAAATAAGAGGCTTAGTTAATCGGATCGCAAGTGTGGAAGGTGCAAGAGTAAGTTTAGACTGCAGAGCAGGCGTTCTTGTGGGTTTGGGGAAGAATGGGAGTTTTCAGTGCGGTTCCTGTTTCAACTACGTGCCCGCGAGAAAATTGGGACAAAAAAGGGAACATGGGTTTCAGTTCTCGCTCGTTCCAAATTTCCAAAGTTCCCCCAAAACCACAGCATTCGCCCAAATATCGCCCAAACAATAAACAGTGATTCCTTTTTTATGCAAGGACGAATTTCACTGTATGGCTGCGAAAAACTCACGGTGCAATAAAGTGATTGTGACAGTCAAGTGTACAAGGATTCCCATTAGATGAGCAATGATTTTTTTTAAATATTTGTACACTAAAATGAGGCTATCCCCGTATAAAAGAGTATATGATCAAAGAACATCATCTATTACCATCTATTATTTATACCGCGAAGTAATTGAAAGGTAATTGTTTCTACCGAGCGCTTTCCCGTTTCACACTGTCAAACGAAATCTGCTTAGATAGCTTTCTAGGTGGGTCTGCCATAAACTCGCCGGGAAGCCGAATTCATTCAAGTAGTAACTAGGGGACAAAGGGGCAGCACAGGTGAGCCTAATCTAGGTCCTTCATTAAGTAAAATTTGCAATACCTTGTAGGATCGGTATGCTTCTTGGATTATTAGTGCGGCCTGGTACAATTCTTGTTGTTCACGATCTACGAAATAACAGAAATTTAGTAAATGAATTATTAATGAGATAAGGCAAGATTCTTTTTTTTCAATTAGTGAATTACTTTCCTTCTTCCTTTCATATTGTATTTCAAAACACATCGAATATGTCCCTTATACCATACTACAATTCTTACGCGCGTTCACCATTTTCCCGCCAACTTTCCAGACATGCGTAGTGGGTGTGTGCGATGTTCGTTCTCGTACAATCTCGTACCCAGAGCCCTTATTTCTTACTGCGCATGCTCGACGAAATAATTGGGCTCCGGTTTTGTAATGGAAATTGTATTGATGTCCATCCAATAGATATTTTCGGAGTTAATTTATTTGAAAACCATCTTCAAAACCTAATTTTCCAAGCGCAAATTCACATGCTCGTTGAACATCGTCCGCCATTTTGAATTTACCTAGTCTGTCATAATGCGCATGTGCGAGAAACCCAGAATCTGGGTCTTCCGGT